AAGATTTTTTTTAAATCGGCCCAGTAGTTTTTGAGTTATCTCAAAACATACAAGACACAAATCTTTCCTCTTTATAATATTAGTACGAGTATAGAAGAAGTAAGTCAGTATTAATAATTGTATAATTTTGAATTACATTACATGCTTTTCTTCTATTCTTTCCATTGAAATAAAAACAATTCGTTTAAACTATAGTAGAATCATAGTTTAGTTAGTCCCTTGATGTTCTTATAACGTAATTGATTGATTTACAAGTATATTTCGAAGTGAGTTATCAAGTAAGTCCTTGACATACATTGTTGAAGTCAATGCAATTAGGGTGCTAAGGCTGTGAGGGGTTGATGTATGGGAACGCATCTGTGTCCACACGGGCATTGATAATGTCCGACACGCGTTATCTATAACCGTAAAACCAACAAACAACTGTCCATGGAAATATCTTTAAAAGGAAATAATTTCCACGATATATTTCTACGTTTAGTTTAGACAATAATTGAACAGTTATACTTTCTATGTTTCGGTCAAATGAAGCAGTGAAAAATAATACAACGCTACGTTTGTCTTCATGTTCGACACACGCGAGTTCATTAATTTGTAATGATTAGTTATGATAATTCGATATAATTTGGTTTCGGGACACTCAATGTCATCCTTTCCATTACGATTATCTTAAACACTAACTATATGTTATACTAGTTGTTGCTTTCGACATCTTCCTCGTAATATTAAAAAATATAGCCTATGGTACTCATTGATACGGTAGCTTTTTAATGGTGAAAGAATTTGAAAATCGGTCCAGAAGTTTTTGTGTTATTACAATACAAATAAACAAATCGTTTCTCTTTATAATATTAGACAAACCCCGATACACACGTTCAGTTTAACTGAACAGTTAAACCGCAGTGAAAGTACAGTTAAAACGATAGCTACACATACAATTTTCTCTATTTAGATGTGGATAGTTCACATAGTTAGTACAATTTTCATCTATTTATTTCAAAATCACTGCTTTTTAGCCTTGAAAATGCGCATCACCGAAGTACTTCCATAAAAAGCAACTTTGTACATATCAGGGCATCGCGAATAATATTTAGCGTATACGAGTACCATACGGTGTAAGTAGGCTTGCGGTAATGAAGAGCAACGCTGGGCTCGGTGTTAACTGTGAGCATTACCGCGCGCCCGCTAACCGCTCACACGGCGCCGACCAGATTACGTTCTGTCAATATTTGTACCTCATGCGCTCATGCGGTCCTGGTACTACTGCCACATTCCTATTGCAACATTCAACGTCTACAAACATCTAGAAATCTATTGATTGTTGAAACTCATTTAAATGGAAGAGTAGAGAAACTCGACAACTTTTTGAAGAATGCAACAGTTTCAAAAACAAAAAATTCAATAAAATGGTTACTCCTAAAGAATTTAGATACTATTTACACACTATTTCCAAAAACAAATTACGCTGACAGTGTAAATTAAAAAATATATTAACAGATAAAATGATACGTTTGTAAAAATTCCAACAAACAAATAAAAATACCACATGAGGTCTAACTGATACGTCCTACAAATGTCAAAAGGGCACCTAACGAACTGGAAGATAGTGGTGCAAGTAAACAGGGGGAAGGGCGGGCGGTGTCGGCACCTGTGCCGCATTGTTTGTGCCCCCAATTAAAAGGGAGGTTAGAATGGGTGTGCACACTGCGCCCGCGCTGTTTGCCGCCCGCCGCCGGCGAGGTGAGGCGAGGAAGTCTTAATCTAACAACAGACCTCTAATTTCCAAGGTATTGATGAACTTCGAAAGGAATTTATGTTGGCATTAAGAAATCTGTTTTGTTTGATTTAACAATTACAATACTACTTTTACTGTTTGATAATTTCTATTGATATAGTAGTATTGACAGTTTTAATTTAAAAATTGATTTTTTACATTATTATAGATTTAATGTCAAAGATTTCTAGAATGTTGTAAAAGCGTTAATTACTGAATTATTAGAATTGCCAAATAACTAGTGTCTTTCAATATGGTTTTGCTGAGATCGTCATCAAGGTTTTGAGTACTATATAGCTAATACAAACAGGCAAGTCCGGGGACTCCCTTAAGGCGGTTTAGATAAGCACCCCACAAAGAGAATGTTTGCGCAGGCGCACTATCGCATCTACACGCGGAAATAAATCGGTAGGGAACAGGAAGATGATAAAAATTGTCACACGACGCACCCCAATGTTAAGAAACACTACCACGAAACAACACTCAAAATATAGATTAATTTTATTGAGATATCATATGCAGCTATAATCCTTTTACCGATAAGAGAACAAACTAACGATTGTCGGTTAAAACAGAATTACACTTTTGGAGTACAGAAGAGCAACGCATGTAAGACAGGTGTTATGGTTTTGACATTGGATTTACTTACTCTCTAGTCCTATCAAATTACACCATTCTTATATTATAACACTTTCCATAATTTAAACAGTTAACTTAAAATAAACGATCAATCATATCTAGTTAAGCGATACATAAGTAGCCTCCACAGAGCTTTTGATCCGTCCTTTAAGAATCACCCCTATTAGTCAGTATATTTTTTACAGGAACTAATTTATTTCTTCCTATTTAATAGACAATTCCTAAGAATTTTATAGCGATTGTTATATGAAAACCTATGGCATATTTACTGGTCGAATCTACAGATGTTTTCTAACTCGTGTTCTAATTTGTTTTATAAGAAGGGAAAGTATTTCGCACTTATTCATCAAAACGTCTTTCGTAGGCGTTAAATAGAACTTCAATATTTACGGTAAAGACGTACTCTTCGCTTTATCGAATTAACAGCTTGTACTTGCTATGAATATTATGGTAGTTACTATAATATTTAATATTTCTGAAAGTTGTCGTTGCCAAGTAATCAAGATTTGTAAACCTTGTGTTATGCGACTTCAAAACGCAGTAACAGCCTGAACCGAAGCTTCTACGGGAATTCTCGAGTTTAGTTACTCTTAAACGACGTTTAGGCTAAGCGCCATCTGTGTTCGCCCACCTCAAGTCCGGTGAAACTAGAAATGTCTCTTCAAGGCAAACAGTAACAAAAAATGACGACCACCAAGACAACAACACTTTATGTTGACGATTTATTTATCTCAAAGTCATCTTTAATCATCGATGTCTCCATAAGAAGCGATGAAAAGAACAAAATGTCAATCTCAATGGAATTCCTTTGAAAAAAGACGCATTTGAATAAATACCGACAGTTGATAGGAAATTAATAAACAAGCAGGAGATAAGAGATAAGGCGGTATTCAATTAGCGGGCATACATAAAGTGCCGGCTTCAGTGGAAACGCACCGATGACCCGGGGTCATATAACGCTGTATCTTTAACTCTCATACATATAGATATACAGTAATTACGGAATAGTTTAGAGCGTTAGGGCGGGAATACAAATGCCAGTAAAATGTAACAGAAGCATACCAGTTACTGGCGTAATGTGTATACATGCCAGTAAAATGAAACTGTAGCTTGCATGCCGGTTCACAAGACCATAGGAGACGAGTCAGTGCAAGCTTCGTAGCTGCTTTTGAATTCTTCGGCGCTTGCCCGTAGCTGTAACTGGCAGCTATATACCCACCTTTAGAGCATCAACAATATAAAATGTTCAGAGAAAAGAAAAGATGTCGAACGAAATGTTTGGTTGTAAGTAACATGTCTTATGCTGGTGAATTCGCATTATGGAATCATTGGAGAAAAATCACTTTTGTTTACTGTTTAAATAACTTTAGATTTAGTGGTAAGTGAGTAGAGTAAAGTCAACTGTATTTAGCTGCCTGCTTTATAAAGCTGCCCTCTTACCTCTTTGACGACGCCAATGTCTGAAGGTCTTTTGTTGTGATAAAATCCCCCAATGCTGTCATTTATAATATAAAATGATATTTCGAAAATCAACTCTCTATTTAAAAATCAAGAAGTCAAACTTATTTGTAACGCTTTATTTATATGTATATCTATGGTGTCTTGCATATATTAATTTAACTCATACTATGGTCTACTAAGTATATATGTATACATTAAGTTGAATGCAATTGAAATTAAAAATAAAATATCCGTACGGTGCAGCCGCGTGGTTTGTTTATTGTTATCAGTCGAGGCACTTTCAAATAATACAAAGATCCGGAGACCACTTGAGCTCTCGTTTTCAAGTGTTTCTCTTATCGGAATATGCACCAACTTAATATGTTAAATCATTTGTAACAATACGCTACGTTTCCGATACCTCGTCTACTGAAATGAAACCGATATCCGATACTTATTGTTATTCAGTTTTATAAACTAATTTTGTCAGAGATATTAATTATACTTCATACCTACGCCTAAATTGTGTAAAGAGATAAATGAAATCAAGAAATAGGAATTAAGTAATTTACGAGTTAGGCGTATTAAATGTTTAGACTTTAAACTGGACATTAAAACACACATAAAAAAATAAAAAGAAACAGACGAATTGAGTACCTCCGTCTTTTGGGAAGTCGGTCAAAAATGTAGTAGTAATCCAAAAATAAACGGATATAGAATAACGAGTTTGATAACTGGTAACTGCACCCGTTTTTATCCTAATTAAAAATGTTTTGGAAAACGTTAGTTTAAAATCATTTTGTTTACTAAACAAAATTCGATATCAAAATAGACAACAAATTAATTTCCGAGTGAAAAAATATGAATATAATCACTTGCTATCTTTACATTACTATAAACTTTATTCAGCTTGGAAAGCTGTAGTAATATTCTTAATTAAAAACATGAAAAACATGTGGGTATTTCAAAGCTGTTTATGAAAAACCTCGAAACTGAAAGCCATGACCTTTGTAATCAATGTCAAAACAATAATTCCACAATTAAAATTATACACGAAACATTTACTTAAATAATATAAAATTAATGCTTCCTGAAAATGTCGAAAAGACATTCCATTTTTGAAGTCTAGACATAAAGAAAAACTTACTTAGCGGGCTGTGGCACGATGGTGTCATAATTGAAGGACTGCAGCAACTTGCCGACTGCCTCATTGATCTCCAGCTTGTCGCACTTGCGTTCCCGTTTCTGGTCCCAGCTCATTTCGTGGCAATACTCGATAGTTTCCTGTGACTCGCGAGCGGGCGGCAAGGCGAGGCGGGAGCGCGTCCGTCGACTCGCGCGCACAGACTATAAAGACTTCCTTATGCCGTGCGCTATATTATAAAAGCTCGAAGGGGCGCGCGCGCGGGCATCGTCTGCACGTTGTTTACTTCAACGATCTTGTAGTGTTATTGTTTTTTTATGTTAAACACATATAGTGGAAGCAGTAGCAATTTAGTGTTGTGACTAAATTAATTGCTAAAATGGTACAAACAAATTAGAAGCTTTACTTAGTTGAAGGTTAATGTAGTTTTATGATTTTATTGTATTTTGGTATAATTGAAATTTTCATTGGTAAGGTAAAGAGTTTTACGCTAGTTTACGAAAATGAAATAAATTTATTGTATTTTAGTGTTATAAAGTTAATGCATTACTGAAATACGTATTTAATATTTAGAAGCGCATTTATTATTCAAGGCGAACCAACGTAACAATAATATTTACGTGAAACATCATCGAGCACTGAAGCGATCGTCATTTGTCATGGTTTCGTTAATAGGTACGCGGCGCGCTCGTAAAGGCTGCAGATTTTCCGAGTTTTCCCGTAGCGGGGCCGTGTGGGCGGAGTGCGGGCCCGCCTCGGCGCGCCATTGGCGCTGCCGGCCGCTGTGACGTGCGGCCGCGCCGCTGCCCGCTACACTCCGCTCTCCGCACACAAGCGCACCACGGAAGCTTTATCTTGCGTAAAGAAATTCAAGCTTACCATAATAAATATCTGCACTGCATATTTATTTAAATGTTTTCAGTAACTAGATTTAATTGTTTACTTTTAAAATGTCATAAACAGCATCTTAATTTCTAGATTGTACTTAAATCTTTACTTATCTTTTTTTTAAAAGAATATAACATTTTATTAAACGCCTTTAGGCTGAATACAGTTCTAAAATTCATTCGCAAAACATACTTATTTGATATAGTAATTGTGTACATTTGGAACGCATTCACAAATTACCAGTTATTTATTAAAAACCCTCGACTCTGCCAATTAGAGCGATCTAATTTTCCACCCAATTCACGCAATGTAACCTCTAATTGAGTTGTCAAGGTATATCAGCCGGCATGTGTAATAACCATGTTCTCGGCTATACGGTAGCCAGCAACTGTAAATAGATAAGGTTGCTTCTATGTTTATGCTTAATCATGAATAATGAAAACTTAAGTAAGTCTAAAGTAAATTATAGGATTATTAGTAGGTTATTAAATGTTGCTTTTGTAAAAGACTGAAGTATAAACATTTCTTATTAACCATTTATTAGTAGCAAGGACATCAGATCTAACTATCTAATTCTTCTAGTTCAATCTTGAAAGATCGATTTTAATTTTCGTTTCCCGCTCTGGGGGGTAACCATAAACAAACTGTACCTATGCTAAAAGTTGAAAATTGCAAAATGTTTTTGGTAAAACACTTTTCCCCAGCTTACAATGTAATATTGCATAACATTATTTACCGCATTACTTCTCTTTATCTCAAAAGGACTGAAAAGGACAAATATCTTATAATCATGTCCGTAACTTGACATTATATTTTTTGCTTTGTTGTACTCTTTGGAATATTCACTCTATTTAAGTTGTCTTTGGTTCGTTGTTTTGTTGCCAAAAGGTTGTTGACCTGTCAATTTAATATAACATTTTTTGATTATCGTATTTAATATTGTATCAATCGTTAATAGCCATTAAATGTTCATTTCGTCCATATATCTAGTCACTCTTTTATAAATTACAATGAAGATTGCTATAGAAGGATGTGCCCACGGTGAACTTGAAAAAATATACGAATGTGTTGAAACTATCCAAGAAAGGGAGGGAATTAAGATTGATTTATTAATTTGCTGTGGGGACTTTCAGTCTGTTCGCAACAATGACGATTTACGAGCTATGGCTGTACCTGAAAAATATCAAAATATTTGTACATTTTACAAGTAAGTTTCATGAACATAACCTATAAAACGTTCTGAAATATAGCATTCGATGTTATGGGTATCATTCAGCGTACATTAAATTATAATGGGAGGACAATGATCATGGTGTTTTCATTATAAGATTTATTATTATTACTAGACACTAATTGTTTACAGGTACTACAGTGGTGAGAAAGAGGCCCCTGTTCTGACTATTTTTATTGGTGGCAATCATGAAGCATCAAATTATTTACAAGAATTGCCTTATGGTGGCTGGGTTGCACCTAATATCTATTACATAGGAAGAGCTGGTGTGGTAAAATATGGAAATTTAAGAATAGCAGGTATATCATAGAAAATATATTAATTGTATATTTTATAATGTTTGAAATCACTAAGGACTACTTCCTTGTAAATAGTAATAAAATACTTAAGTCCTTTTTAATACAAAGTGAATGATTTTATATATTTAAAACAATCATTGTTTTAAGAACTTCCTTTCATGCTGTTTCAATTCTCTAATTTCAGGTGTGTCAGGTATTTTCAAGGGACATGACTACTTGCAAGGTCTTTGGGAGAGTCCTCCTTATTCACAGAATTCATTACGCTCAGTATATCACATTAGATCTCTAGATGTTTTCCGACTTAGTCAGCTTAAGGAACCAGTCAATGTCATGTTATCACATGACTGGCCAAGAGGAATCACTGATTATGGAAATAAGGATAACTTGTTAAGAAGAAAACCATTCTTAAGGTAAAAACTTATTCTTCTAAAGCTTAACAAAACTTAATGGTATGTATCATACATATCTTAATTTTATGGTACTTAAATTTTGTAGTCTTTACTAATATTATAAAGAGGGAAGCTTCTTTAAGGTACAAAATCACAAACTACTTGCCCAATTTACAAAGCTACATTGTTAATGAGTAACATTGGCTATATTTATTACATTTTTTTATAGTGAGGAGTAAATGTTGAGGGCAAATCCTATTATTCTAATAATCATTAATCTTATTCAGGGAGGACATTGAATCAAACCATTTAGGTAGCCCACCAGCAGAAAGGCTTTTACATTTGCTCAAACCAGATTATTGGTTCGCTGCTCACTTGCATTGCCAATTTGCAGCCCTCGTACAACATGAAGAAGGTGAAACAAAATTTCTGGCTCTAGACAAATGTTTGCCAAAGAGAAGACATTTACAAATATTGGACCTACCTCCCACATATGATGGGGACAAAACATTAAAATATGATGTAGAATGGTTGACTATTTTGAAAGACACAAACCATTTGCTAAGCGTCAAAAATATTAACTGTCATATGCCAGGTCCAGGTGGTAATGAGAGGTATGTAGATTTTTATTTAAGACTAGCTCTCGCCCGCGACTCCATCCGCGTGGTATTAAAAAAAAAGTAAGTAGCCATCTACTCCAAATTTCATTGAAATCCATTCGGCAGTAAGCTGCTAAAGGCTACAAACTCTAACAAACATACATCTATCCATCTAAACTTTCACATTTATAATATTAGTATGATCGTTTAATATACTAATTTTATAACAAAAGTGGTATAATTTCTCATTTTTCAGATATGAATTTAGTCCCACTGAAGAAGAGATGAAAAAAACATTAGAAGTAATGGGATCTTTAACAATAACAAATGAATCATTTGTCAGAACAGCCCCGATTTACAAACCAGGAGCCCCAAAGAGTTCAATAATTGAGCCCATTGAGAATCCTCAGACTGTCTACCTATGTGAAAAACTAGGCATTGATGATCCTTTACAAGTTGTGCTAGCGCGAACAGGACGGACTATGAAACCAGTGTGTGTTAAGGAAAGTACATTAATTGATGAATCAATTACATGTAATGATGAGAACACAGTACCTCAAACACCTATGAAATCTTTCAAATTATCCCTACCTGCACCAGTTACACCTTCTCTTAATGAAGATTTGTCTCAAACAGATTCAATTTGTACTCCAAATCATACAAAATCTGACAATTTAGATGATACACAAGAAAATTTATCTACTCCACCTTCAATTAAAAAAATATTTAAACGAAGGAACTTAGCACTGTACACACCAGAAGCCGATGAAGATGTTAGTACTTCTACAAGCTCAGTGGGAGAATCTGAGAGTCCTCGCACAAGTAAACTGCCTTGTAGAATAAATATGTAGATAATTTAGTATAATTTTTAACCATACAATTACTTGATAGTAATTTAGGCAAAGTATAATACATAAGTAATTTCATTTGTAAGAAATCACTAGAAAACAGTAAATAATATAATAGATGATATTTGTAAATAAACATTTTAGCATATTCAAACAATGCATAATAAAATTATTTTTTTAAGCTTATATTAAACAGTAATTGATTTATTTTTTATAAGAAATGCAATAAATAATAATGATTTGATTTTTTTAAATGAATTTGAAATTGTTCATTATAATTAATTTTATTGTACAGAACTTTTTATTTTTTCAATGACAAATCACTGATATTAAAATATTTTTTTAAGAAATACAAAAAATCATGTCTCTAGCGGACAAATATAAGTAGATTCTATTCAAAAAATATGAATTTAGCATTTTTAGAAAAGCAAAATTTCAGGAGAAAACTGACAGGATTAGAATGAAATAAAATATTTTCCATCATTAAGCCCTTTTACTTGTACTTACAATTTTAGTATGTACACAAAACTGAAAATAAAAAGTATTGACTGAATCACATTTTTTATTGTTCCTTTATACTAACAAGATTAAATCCCCCTGTGTCAGGACACCTGTAACTTCCGGATGCCAAAATTTCAACTACAAATGGGTTAATAAATGTTCTTTAAGTTGAGGAATATTTTTAGGTACATAACTACATTGATTACATTTAAGTGGTGCTGATTTTAATGTTTTGTATTCTTCATTAGCTACTTCTTTAATAGACCCATATTTTTTTAATTCTTCCAAAACATCTGAAATAAAATTACACTTAAGTAATATCCCTTATCCAAAAAGATTATTAAGGTCACAGCTTCGGAAAACACTGCATCTTTTACTTTTTAAAACTAGATTATAGTAAATATGATTTATATGGAGGCCAAGAGCTACTTTGGGTCGCTGCGCCAACGCAGTAAGTAAATATGATATTAAGGTTACCATTATAAGGTTTAAATAAAGCCGTAGTAAAACTATTCCAATGCACTTTGGTTTTTAGGCATGGAGACACCATATCTTTACTGATTATGTGCATGTGAAGTCTTTGCATACTTGGTACTGCATGGAAACCAGCATTGAGATGATGGTTTTTATGTTCTATTTGTATCATTTTTAATATTTCACCAAATTCTTGTAAAAGAGCCACATCCTTGGTCGTCAATTTATAAATACTAGTAATATTTTCCTTTGGTAACACAAGAAAATGTATCTTAGCCTTAGGATATTTGTCTCTAATAACGACAATCCGGTCACTATCTTTATAAATCAAGTCTGCATCTTTCATTGATTCCACTAAGCCCATTGACCAATGTTTTTTTGGTTTTGAAAGTTCATTTTGACTGTTTTTACTCATAAGCCTTTTACTCATTACGTTAAGCTCTATAGTTTTTATTAAGCGAATATTCGCTTAGAATAATCATTCACTTTTAGGTGTGGTATTTGAAAATTTCACCAATGTCTAATCAGTAAACAACTATTATCGGAAAAAAATAAAAACATGCCCAGAAAACACTGCAACATGCCTGCTCAATGCTTGCCTCCATACCTTATCTGTCATTGTCAATAAATCGCCACAGTCAATCTGACAGTGACAGTGACAATTAGTTCGAACGTTATGAACAAAGAGCAAATATTTTGGTATTTATGATTTGATTTTTAAAATCGTTCCCAATCGTACCGGATTATTATATCACAGCTGAGTGGAATTGCGGCTTGTGTGTATAAAAAAGATGTCTTCGTGAAATTAAAATAAATGAAACGCTCTTTTCATTATGCATAGCTATAATTCATCAATGTATTACATGTGTAATTAAGAATGCTTAATCAAAATGTCTAAGTCATGACTGAAAAAGTAGTTGTTGCAACTTGCGATTTTTCAGTCATAAGTTTGTTTAAATCAACCTTATTAAATAATAATAAATACTTATGGATGATGTCTTACTTATTTATATTACATATATCTTTATTTATATTTCATCTTATCTTTCTTTAAATATTTGTTAATAGTTTTGCGAGCTTTGCTCAAAATATTATAGAAATATTGAGTTGTTATATAGACCGATATATATCGTTGAGCTTTTGCTATATATTTTAAATAGTTCATGATATACCTTCTTATAAAATATCGTATCGTATAATATATTTTTAAATATTGTAGGCTTTTCCGAACGTTATCAATTAAAAATTTCCATTAAAATGGATATGGAATACCTGTGTATATCATATAAATATATTTATTTATTTGTATATTTTGGATAAAATACGCTAGAAATATGAAATACTGGTATTTTAAACATTTGTTACTCAATCTATAGCTTAATAAATATTCCAAGCATAAGTTACGGAAATCATTGAGAACTCTGCAAAGTAAAATTACAACGTATACTAAAACAAGTTTTTGGTGAACGCACCAACAAACCTATAAAAACTAAAAGCTTATGAAATTATATAAATTACTAAGTACGTGTACAAACTAGTCTGTTTTAAAAATATGGAATGTGCTACATTTACAAAGGACCGAAAAAATCGTGTCCTTAGCCCTTCATCAAGGAAAATATCAGCTTGTGAAAAATTATCTTTTTAAAAACTAATTGGATTTGGCTATTCTGAGCAACATCTTAAATCATTTCAGTATGTTAGGTAACCCTAAAATTATTTGAATATCAAATTAATTTAAAACCTTAAAGCATTCTTTACATCGATTTTTCAATATAATTCTTGCGTTTCATATCTTCTTTGAATAGCATACGAATATTCTATAATGGCAATAGGTCACTGCACGGTGGGACGGCCGGCGTAACCAGATTCGGGCATCGAATGGTGCGCCAACTCCCTCAGGATCATCTCGAACCCTTTGATCGACGGAGACTGAAGATTTCTGTTCTTTGCCATTGTCGAATTGTATCTGGCAATGATAGCGCATATCTGGAATATAAAAGAATAATTTATGTTGGATGAAAACTCAATGCATGAAATGTTTTGTGCTTTGTAATATTTATCTCGGTTAAAACTACTTACAGAAAGGACTAAATATGGAACAAACTTTGCCTACCTACTAAATCTTTGTATGCTATTGTTTTTTTTGGGGTTTAAAAGCTATCTCAATCTAATATCAAAACTGAAACTTACGCATAGCGTGGACATTAGGAGCAGAAAGCCGAGCAGGGTAGACAACATCGTGGATGCCATGCAGCTGTTGACGATCGGCGCACGGTAGAACATATCGCCCGGCATCACCACTGTATACTCCAGATTCTCCTTGAAGCGGGTGTACGGTGTCGAGTTGTTATCCGCAGATAATCCTTCGCTGCTCACGTTCCTCATACTGTCCGGCAATGATCGCTTGCGAC